GGCGGCTTGCTCTGTCTCACACCTATGAGGCACGCGCTCACCCCAACCCATTGTCACCCCACCTCTCCCCGGGCCTGCCCGGAGAGCGAGCCCCAGAGCGGCAGACTCCACGCCAGGAGGGTTCCTCTCTTAGCAGCCGCCGCCTAGCGGTAGACTGCTCCCCGGGGAGCTGTCCAGGGTACTGGAGGGTCGCCGAGGGCTGAGTGCTCAGGGCTTCTTCACGCAGAGACACTAGGAGGAGGAAACAGAGTACAAGGAGAACGTATCCAGGAGCAATTCCACTTCGAATGATTCCTAAGTGAATGCCCACAGGACAGTTCTCGGTGACCATGTCCAGAACAGGCTTAAGTGACGATCTCCAGTACTTCCCTGAGGTACCACGCTGGTACCTTGGATCAGAACCCTGCATCAGAACAGGCCTAAATGGCCATGGCCAAGAACACAGCTGAGTTGTCCTTCAACAACAATGCCAATGCCAATTCACCATGTCTGGGCGTTCATAAAGTGACCCCACCACCACCCACCCAGAGAATGTCTAGATGACCACCATCACCCCCACCCCAATCAGGTTACAACTGACTTCCTTCCTCAGGGCGTAAACTGATCATTAGGTTCTGTGGATCTTAGCCCAAACCAAAAAATAGTTTGTCCCCAAACCAGTCCCATCCCTAGAAACCTTAAACCAATTCTACTGCAGATAATAATAATAGCTACAAACTTTTTATCAAGCACCTAGCATGGGTTAACTGATTAAATATTCACCACAACCTATGAAGTTGTTACTATTACCCCCACATCACTTTGCTGTCTTAATTCTAATAGTAGCTAGCATTTACTGAGTGCTTGTTTTGTACGAGTTATGCACTAATACTTGACACGCATTACCTCATTTATCTTTGGAGGTAGGTATTATTGTAATTCCTAATTTACAGGCAGTGAAAAGAAGATTTTAACAAACCTATACACAGTAACTGGCAGAGCTGGGATTAACCCAGGCAGTCTGACTCCAAGATTCAAGCTCTTAGTTACAGCACTTTGCAGCTTCCTCACTTCCTTTGACCATTATTCATATAATTCTATCCTAGGCTCCTCTCCTGGATGTGAGCTAATTTGTCTATGTCTCTTCCAAAATCTTGCACCTGGGACTGCATGAGGAATTTCAGATATGGATTGAAAAGTTCAACAGGACTCTCACCTCTCTTTTGTAAGTTCTATTTCTAGTAATGCCACCTAAAACTCCATCATCTTTTTATTGTAGCTATATCATACTGCTGATATCTCAAACTTGCAGCCAAGTAACATCTCTAAATGTTTCTTACAAGTGCTGCTGATTAAGGCACAGCTACCCCATACTGTGCTTGTACAGTGGGCCTTTTTGGACCCAATATGTAGGTCCTTATAGATTTGACTTGATTACATTTCATCTTGTCTCATCAGTTCACTGCTCCAGTTTTTGTCAAATGTCTATTTGAAGTCAAACCATGAGGTAGCTTTCATTTATTCAAAAAGAAAAAGTAGAAAGATTATATCCCAGCTTTACTCTTTATTCCAGGTGTACTTTGGGCAAATGGATCCCCTTTGAGCCTCAGTTTCCTCAGCTGTAAAATGGGAAGTTATAATCCACCTTAAAAGCCTCTCAAAGTTTAGATGTTGTGTAATTTTATGATTCCATTATCCAAAGCATGAACCACTCGCTTGGCATCATGTAATTTCCACAGTTGATCACAATTTAATTAATTCATCATTCTAATTGTTAATAAAAATGTCAAAACAAATATGCTGAAAGTTCTTCTCCTTTTGGATGGGGGGAAGTGTCTCACTCTGTTGACCATGCTAGCATGCAGTAGTGCAATCACAGCTCATGCTGCAGCCTCCACTTCCTGGGCTCAAGGGATCCTCCTGCCTCAACCTCCTGAGTAGCTAGGACTACAGACATGTGCCACCGCACCTAGCTAGTTTTTAAATTTTTTGTAGAGATGAAGTCTTACTGTGTTGCCCAAGCTGGTCTTGAACTCCTGAGTTCAAGTGATCCTCCTGCCTCAGCCTCCCAAAGTGCTAGAATTGCAGACATGAGCCATAATGCCTGGCCTGAAAGGAGCTCTTATATATACTTTGAACAATTATTCACATCATGAACCTGCTATTTTTGTATTCCATTGTTAAAATTACAAGGTTAAATGTGGAGTCATCTGCTATGATGAGTACTATTTCCCTTAGAAAATAAAACATGAATATAATGATTTCTCATAATTCTGTGCTTGCTTTAATTTTTAAATAATTTTTAATCTTTGAACTGTGATATCCCTGGGTACCCAAATATATGAAAGCCAGGAAGATTTTCCTCTTCAAATTTCCAATCAGAGTAATGACTGACTCGGATAGAATTTTTTAGGAAGTGAGATTGTGGACATACCTGCCCATCTCCTATACTTTTATCTGTTTACAGTAGCAAACATGATTCTGCTTTAGGGGTATCAGGTAGGTTTATGTTGGGTTGTGTAGTTTGTCAATTAACACCCACTTAAGCAAGGTATGTGTTTATTTTTGTATCACATGAAAGTCCAGATGAAGGTAATTCAGGACTCATATGGAAGCCCCAAAGTGTTTGGGACCCAGGTTCCCTCTATCTTGTTACTC